AGCCTACAGCTTCAGCACTTAAGAACATAAGAGCCCTGCTGGATCAGGCCAAGGGCCCATCTAGTCCAGCTTCCTGTATCTGACAGTGGCCCCACCAGATGCCTCTGGGAGCACAGTTGTCTCTAATGTTTGTCTCTCTGTTCCTCAGACTCCTCAGAAATGCCACATGAGGCATGGGTATCTGTCCACAGTAAAGGCAGATGTAAATACAGTAATACATTCAGCTTCTCTGCAAGATCCTTTTTTTATCTAGTGCTCCTTTAACACCATAGTCTGCTTCTGGTCATGTAAAAAATATTGCTGTTAATAGTATAAGTTATTTCCCCCCCCCACAAATGTTTTTTTCAATCCATTATTACTTTTGTGGAGGTTTTTGTTATCTTTTGCTATTCCTCAGGTGACATTTCCTTTTCTATTTCCTTAAGGAAATTCTTTTTTGTCCCCAACAGCTTTTTAAATATTGCTCATTAACAAAGCTGGTGACCTCTTTAGCTGAATTTCTGTTATTGTGTTTTTCAGTTATCACCAAATGTTCTGGAGAGGTTTTACCCGCTTGGCTTTTTAACTTCTTTTTTTACCTGTTCCCCTGATTGATATATTTTGGCAGAAGGGTGAAATATCAAGTTTCATTTTGTTTTGTTTCTCTTTTGAAGTCAGTCACACTGTTAAACTTCACTGGCAACTTTCTGTTTATATATAAATTACATTTTATAGCTTGACTAAAATATCCACATAGCCATATGGAAACAAAACTTGTCAAAGTCAGGAGCTACAATCTAATAGGTACAGTACTTAATCCTGGGATTAGTTGGACATTAAGGAAATGAGCAGTGGCATGTGAGAGTTAGGAATTGAAGCCATGAACCAGAAGTCCGTCATTCAGAGACCTCACATCACCCATGGACTAGGTCAGGGGTCATCAACCTCCGGTCCGTGGCTTGGTGCCAGTCCGTGGGCTTGCCAGAACTGGGCCGTGGATACGGATCTCCGCCCCCCTGCATGCACACGTGGTGGGCATATCATGCTCGTGCGGGGGAGCATGTCACGTGAGTGCGGCACATCCATTGCACTGTGATGTGCCCCCACCCCACCCACGCATGGAGCTCGCTCCCCCCAGCTGTCCATGACCCCAAAAAGGTTGGGGACCGTTGGACTATGTGGTCTTAGAAGCTCATACTCCATATCCCACCTTTGTTGTTGGAAGGATTACAAAATTCAAAATACAAATGTGCTGTTAAGAACACTGTGTTAATTATCAGATCAATTTGTGCGAGCTTAGTAAAAGTTCTTCCACAGCTGCTGCAACAGAAAAAGATGCCTAGACCAAATAAAATATATTAACTGACAGCCTTTTAATGTAAACACTTTGACTGTTCATTCATCTTTTTCCCCCTCTTTTCCAGCTCAGAGACATTAGTCAGCTGCTGTATTTTTGGAACCTCTCCACATTGGCATGAAGAAGGCCAGCTAACAAGGGGGGATACGTCTGAAACATCATTTCCCTCTGAAATTTAGATCATGGTGTACACTGGGAGTAAAAAACACTTTTAAAAGAAACTCACTCTTTTTCCAGAACACCTGTGTTTATTGTAAATTTACCTTGGAATTTGAGATGTTAGAAAATATTTTATAAACTTTTTTGCAATAAATATGGCATGAGCCAAGGAGCCTGTTCAAAATGAACATGCGAAGAACCACTTGAATTACTAGTATGAAGAATCACAAAGTGTACTCTGCTCTTCAAATATGACAGTGTGAATAGGCCCCAGCGATGGAGTCACGACACCTGGAAAGTTGGCTGTAAACTTCTGAAGAGTTACTTTTGTCATTTGTGTGTGTTATACTTTACATCTTAACAAACTTTAGTCTTTAGTGCAGGTGTTAGCAGATCTTAATTCTTTACTGGAAGCATGTCCCAGTTCAGCTATGAGTAATGATAGACCTGTTTTGAGACCACGGTTTCCACAGAAATGGTGGCAATAGTGAATGCTATGTAACTTGAGTGATCACAGTAATTCTTACAGATTTTTGTTTCTTTTGGAGGGCCAAAATAGAGGATCGTTTTAAAAATGTAGCCAAGAGAGACTGACATCACTGACAGTGCACAGTTAGGTATCTGCTTGTGATTATCAAGTATCCCACTGTAAAAGAGCAGGTACTGTAAAGAGGGATAGTAACAGGTATCTGAAGTCATGATGTTTCCTTTTGAGCACAGTTATATATTGCACATTTAGTTAGTCCTGACTCCGTCATGATTAATGTGTTCCATTGGGACTTATTCACAATCTGCTTTAGTTAAGTGGGTTTTTAACATTTCAAAGGTTAACATTGGTTTACATTTACCCAATACCCTCCTCCTCAATAAAGTCTCAAATATTTTCTTAACAAGACTTCACAATATAATTGCAGTATGGTTTTACATTTCAATGGGAGTAAGGTATGCCTATGTTTTTGCAAAAAAAAACTATCAAAAAAGGTCAGTATTTTTTATCTGCTCCTTGTCAAGGTATGCAAACTTTTGTAACTTGCATTTAATCTTCTCAACATTCAAGCAAGATTCAACAGGTACATTGACAGGGTGATATGTCAAAATGATGCACAATCCAAAGACTGATATAAAGATGAACTATCCATGTAAATGCAAGGATGCCTTCTGTACACAGATTTATCAGTCTCCTATGGCATTAGGATAACTGTTGCCAGGTTAACAGAAAAATCGTTTCCAAAGCTACCCATAACCAGCAAATATAGACTGAATTGTGGGCTTCATAATTCCCATGCATGTTATTGCAATCTATAAGTTTTCCCTTTGGCTTTATTTGGCACCAGATTTCTATTTTTAAATAATGTTTTAAAAGCGGAAAAGATGTATAAGTATATTACAATGCAATTCTATATTAAAAATTTCATAATTGTCTATGAAAGTATTAGAAATATTTATAAACAGTTTGCATCACCTACTTTTTAAAAAAATGCCTATCTTCATGATGTAGATTAACAGTAGGTTTGGTTGTGCCACCTTTCATAAGTAACTAGAGGTGATTTTTAAAGGGTCACAAATATTTGGTTTGCACTGCTCTTTCTACTGCAGTCAAAGCAAAACAAAGAGTATAGATTCTCCCCATACAGTAGTTTTATCATTTAATAAGTTTAGGAAAAACGTAGGGAAGACAGTAAATCACTGCAGTACAGTTTGCCTCTAGAGACAGAATGCTGCTTTATACTATCCTTTTTATTTAAATAGTTGGGGGGGGGTTCTCTATAAGAAAAGGTACATAGACCTTGGGAAGGAGACCATGGCACAAAATTATAGTTTCTACTCAGGAAAATGGTGTTGGGCCGCTACATGAACAAGGGTTCACACCTGGATTGATAAGGTGCACAGAACCAGTACTGCCTGCAAAAGACACCATCCAACTATTAGCCGGTGCTCTTTATTCCTTCTATTTTCAGGAGCACCAACACTGCCCCGTTTTACATCCACGAGTCTGATGTGAGGGACCTGCAGGTTTCTACCTTGTGAGTAAAAGAGGGAAGTCAAGTCTGAACAAATTAGATGACTAGTTTTTACCTGCTCATGAAGAACTGAGAAAATGCAACTGCCTTGTTTTTCACTATGAAATGATATTGTCAGGGAACTGTGGTGCTAGAGGTAATGTATTGCTTTTCACCTTTTTGCTTTAGTTGCTTAATATTTAAGCTTTGCTCCATACTACCTTTTATGTCTGTATACTATGTCACTATGCCTCCTTCGTTTGGTAGACTTGAATAAGGAAAAATGATTCAACTTTTACAGTTTGCTTGAAATTAAATGTTCAAGAACGTTGTGTACCATCTATTCAAATAAAGCCTTTTTTCTGCACTTTTCAACATTATACCAAATAGTCTTTTTGACTTCTCTTCATCTAGTCCTTTTCTAGTAAAATGTCTGTAGCTACCTGGGAATAAACCTCGTTCACACAATGGGGACTTGGAAACAGACGTGCTACAGCACTGACAGGTAAGCTTGCTGTTGTGCTTCAGCAGCTGCTGGCACAAAGAGCAAGGCCTTCAGTGGTGGCACTCAGTATGACAAGTGTACTCTGTGGAGTCACCGCTGCCTATTGAGTTTCCCTTAAGGTGACGATGGTTTCCTTTTACTTCAGCCATTGTTTTGTACTGCAGGATACTGCTCTCTGACTAAGCTACAGTAGCTTTTGGTTCCACCATAATATGGTTATCAGATTGTTCCTTATAAGCCTGTAAGTCTGCTGTTTCATTAGCAACTAAAGGAGGTACTATCAAGAAATGGGCAACTGCTCTTTACCTTGTGGAGAACAAAGTACAGTGGTGCCTCGCTTAACGAGTGCACCGTTTAACGACAAATCCGCATAGTGACGTGTTTTTTGCGATCGCATTGCGACATTTTGAATGGCAAAATATCACATTGCGATGATCGGTAAGCATTTTGCTTACCGATCTTCGCATTGCGATGTTCTAAAAACAGCTGATCGGCGGTTCCAACCCCCCCACATAGCAACGAATCCGATTAGCGACGTTAATCCTGGAATGGATTAACATCGCTATGCGGGGCACCACTGTATTGCGCTTTCCTTCTGTCAGGAGTACCTCCCATAGAAGCCTTATTGAAACTGAGGCTGTGTAGCAATAGTGTATAGATTTAAATAGCTGAAAACAGCACTGGATACATAATTCTCCAAATTGTTCCTGCATCATTGCTTAAATGAAAGAACAGGAACAAGAAAAGCGTAATCAGAATATTTTAGCAGATTTTTTTGTTAAAAATTGCAGTTCAGCTTCTTATAATCAGGCACTCAACCCCTCCAGAAAAGAGAACGCCTACGTCTTCACCCGTAAGACCTTGATTCATGCGCTGAGAACACATCATAAAACACAAGGCTTGACAGGAGTACTGAAACTAACCATGTTATTTCCTACAACATATAAATTTGAAAAGCATCAGCACGTTTGCTTTGGGGAGTAAAAAGCAACAACATGCAGCCCAGAGAACCAAGGTTTTATTTCACTTCAGATAAGGTTCCCTCTGTAAATGGAGAGCTCAGTCTTTTTGTCTCATTCACACAGAAATTCGCAGTCACCACAAAACACAAAATGGTTGCATTTTGGTTACAGGTATGGGTGCACTTGACTCTTCTATTTTAGCTAGGTGAACTCCTGTCCCCCACAAGAGGGTGCAGAGTGCCCAGATAAAGTGCATATAATTCTACTGTACAGGTTAGATTACTTCCCCCAACAGTCCACACCTGCAAAAGTACCCCACAGGAGAAAATAATGCATAGGACTATGATCAAGTCTTTACATTTAGTTAAAGATTTTATGCCTTAAGGTGTTTATTCATCCTGTTGCATTCAGTAAAAACACCCATGCCAAGCATGTTACTGCAAGGAAGGCTTATGTTATCGGTTGTTATTTGGATTTTGAACAAAGTTGATGGAGTAAGAGCCAGTTGATGAATCCTGTTTCACCTGGAAGTTCTCAGTTGAGAGGCCAAAAGGTCGGAGCACCAAGTTTCCAAGATCTTTCAGTTTACCTGCAATATATTTTTTTAAAAAAAGGTTATCTCCCAATAAAAGTACAAGATCCCTGTGACAGAGTATGTTTCTTTCCTACATGGATACTATCAGAATAAATTCATTCAACAATAAAGAAATGTACCCTGATGGTAAAGAGTTGCCGCCACGAGGGTAATTATATTTTGACACAACACCCACCTTGTGAAAATAAGCAACCAGTAGCTGAGCACTTACAAAAAGGTTCATAAAAAGAGCCATGCCAGGTAAATTCAAAGGCTTATTTAGCAACCAGGTATCTATGGGCAATCTGCAAGCAGGAGATGTCAGCACCCTATCTTCCCAGGATATGTGGTATTCACAAAAACATTGTCGTGAAGCGGATTCGTCATTATACGGGGTAATCGTTAAGCGGGGCATGACTGTACTTAGGAGCAATGCTTTTTAAAAAATTGTTAAGGAACAATCCCAGTCAAAGATTGTTTTTTTCACCAACAACTATGAAGTAAGTAAGGAATAAAAACCTAACATTGCCAAATAAATCCTGCCTGAAGTCAATGATGAAACTAAGCACTCGGGAGATAAAAGGGCAAAGTGCACTGGATAAGCATACCATACTCCACATAAAGCAAACAACTGAAACTTGTGTGAACTGGAAACAACCCATGCCTGGGACCAAAAGATTAAGAATCACAAGATTCTAAGAATTAGAAGGAATAGCTACAACTAAAGCAACACAGGCACAGATGTTCAAGAAAGCAGCTATCACAAGACTGTGCTACATCATCTTCTTGAAATACCCCTCCACAAGCCAGCCTCTCCCCTATTTGCCCATAAGGGTATGGCATTTTTATAGAAGCTAATTAATAACACTTTACTACCAAATATGGTTTCTTTCCGGACTGTTCCCAACCCACAGTTCCTGTGGAATCCTGTTTGTCATAGAGAAGCCATTGGGGGGGGGGGGCAAGGCATTTTATCAGTGGCAGCAATTTTCAGTAAAGACTCCATTTCCACATCCTAGCACTGCACTGTTCAATATTGTTCAGAACTATTTACTGACGTTTTGGAGTCAATATTACGTTCACAGACAAGCTAGTTGCTTTTAAAGAGCTGTGCCCTCTAAACAGTAAATAGATAAAGCTGGCCTCTATAGTTGACAGGTGATAGAAGAGGGCTGGTAACATTTCTCTTCACTTTGCCTTTTAACCAGAGGAAGCAACCTTTTTGTCCAAAAGGGCTAGATATGGAGGGGGATGAAAGGTCACGGGGCCCATGCCAGGAGTGGCCAGGGCCAGAGCAAAACCTCCTTCTTTCATGCACTCCTCCTATCCAACCTGGCCTGTAGGAAAGCTGGTTATTGTGCCATTTTAATTTTTCTATGCAGAACACCATGCCAGAAAGGGTGTGTGTTGAATCATAATTTTTTTTACAGGCAGATAATTTTTCCTATGACTTCCACTCTGCCCATAGAAGAGTTTTCTTCCTTAAGCCCAGATAAAAGAAGCTGCTCTAGCTCGCCTTACAGAAGACAATCTTTAAAAAGCAACACATTGGGAGCACAGCCATGAAAGGTACAGTGGCCAGGAAAAATCAGCACATCTGTCACTTCCCCTATGTACCTAAAGCTTCGGATCAATTTTTTTAGATTTATAAACTGGTTCTTTTGAACTGCAGGAGGTGGCATTTCATGTGCACTGCGGGGCTGAGACGCAGCTTTACATTAAAAACAGATTATGACAGCTGTACAATACACTGTCAGAAGTACACAGGCAGTCAAAATCAAGTGAGAGACCAAAATTATGCATGGAAATAGATCTTCCACACTGGCAGTCTATTGTTTTCAGTAACCAGAGTAGACAGAGATGCAAGAGGTATACTGCTGCACTATGAGTCTTTTCACATTCTGGATTATCTAAACCAGAGGTCGTCAACCCCCGGTCTGCGGCCGGTGCCAGTTCGTGGCCTGAGACAAACCGGGCCATGGAGACAGACCCCTGCACACACTCCCTTTCCTACAGCTGCTTTGCGCACGCATGCGCACGCCCACGCCTGTGTGAGCGCTCCCCCACCCCTTCATGAATGTGCCCGACTACCTGCGCAAAGGGGTGGGCGGGCGGACAGGCAGGCATGCGCTCCTCCTGCACATGCACGAAGGGGTGGAGGAGCATGAGCACTCACTCACCGCTTTGTGCATGCACCTGAGAGCAAGTGTGCACGTGCCCAAGAGCGTGCCCACACGAGCGCGGGGGGGTGCCCTGCCTTCCTCAGAGGCTCAGCCGGTCTGTGGTCCCAAAAAGGTTGGGGACCACTGATCTAAACAATGTGTAATTCACACAAGCACACACTCATGATAACATCCAAGTTTTTTTTTTAAATGAGAATGCAAGAACACAGTAGCTCCAGTAAATGCTGAACCACACACAAGTTATGTCTGCACACACAAGGCACTTTTCCTAATGTACCAGGGACTGAGTGCATCAACAAGCAACATGTCTGCTACAGCATTCACAGAGCGATTATCACTCCTTTCAAAGCTGAAGTAAGAACTAGCTGTGCCTACTCCTTTCCCAAGTTTGGGGAGGGAAAGAGAAGGTTTATAATACAAATCTGTTAAGATCAAAACAAATGTATCCCATTACCCTCTTTCAATTGTTACATCCAAGTCATAAAAAACTATAGTTGGTTTTACTCGTTAAACCAAGAAACAAAGATGGTGGGGTGTACCTGATAAACTCCTGCTATAAGAGGAATAGACAAACAAACCTTAAAGCTTTTGTTTTGTTTATCATGGCATAGCATCTAAACCTGGTGACAAAAAACTACAGTTGGTTTTACTCGCTAAACCAAGAAACAAAGATGGTGGGGTGCTATAAGAGGAATAGGCAAACAAACCTTCAAGCTTTTGTTTTGCTTATCATGGCATAGCATCTAAACCTGGTGAAGGTGGTGAACTTACTGCCTGGGGGACAGGCAAGCCAGAACTACCAGAATCAGATGCCATGGTGACAAAGAACAGCAGTGACACAAAGCAACGAAGGATCAGTTCATGGCATGTTTAACTGTTCCTGCTTGCAGAGACAGTGATTAGGCAACCTGAATGAGCACACTGTCCCATTCAGGAGAAGCCACAATTCTCAACAATTCAGTTTTGGGACTTCTGAATGCACTCTATGACAAAATGGCTCCCATATACCGGTAAACGACTTGGGAGTAATAATGCACAAGTAGTGACACTTATGAACCCATCATTTCCTGGAAGATAACACCTCTCGTATGCTGAAATGCTAGGATTCCAGAAATCCAGAAAAATGGTCAATTTAAACAAGAATGGAAAGAGCACAACAAATCATTTTTCCTTCTGCAGTGAAGGTTGCATAGGAAAGTATTTGCATTTTATACTGATACATGGAAATTACAACAAGCAAGCTAGATTTTAAAAAGATGCTTACCCAACATCTCTGCCTTGAGTTTTTCATTACGTTCTTCTATTTCTCTTGGCAGTCGCTAAGAAGACAAATAGAGGATTAATTGTGCAAAGATGCCTTTGGCAACAGAGTTTATTTACTCATGATATACTGTGCACAATTCAATGTGCTGCTTGGTAGGAAAAAATCCAGAAGAAACCATTGTTCCCAGAGGTGCAGACAGAGCCACAAGCACCGCAAGGGACCTCCTTGTTATCTCAAATGTGAGTCCTATGCATGGTATTCAGAGCGATCTAGCAGTAGCTTTGCTTCATCTAGAGAAATAGAGTACTAGATCTCCCATTCCCAAGACACCATAAGTACACTGTTAGGCACTCAGCGCTACATGTGCCAAGCAGGAGAGAACAATACGTTTCATGGAGCTCTGTGGAAATGGCCTGTAGGAAGCCACGGATTATGCCTTTATTTCTCTTTGGATTAAGCCTTCACCGGACAGATCCTGAAGCTGAGGCTCCAATAATTTGGCCATCTCATGAGAAGAGAAGACTCCCTGGAAAAGACCCTGATATTGGGAAAATGTGGAAGCAAGAGGAGAAGGGGATGACAGAGGACAAGATGGTTGGACAGTCTCACTGAAGCTACCAACATGAATTTGACCAAACTCCAGGAAAAACACAAATAAAAGGCAATCCTTAATTTTGTGGTTTCTGGGTTCTCAAATGAAAGTGAAAGATATGAAAAGGACCACTACAAACTTCTGATTAACAAATCAGACCGCGCATCTTCCAGGAACCCAATTACCACAAGATGGACCCTACGATTGTACTAGAAAAAAGTTTTTAGAGCATTTTAACAAACTCATATTTCACAATTCTCACAAGCTGAACATCACAAGTGAATGTAGCTGTGTGAAAAGAAATAAGACTTTATCAAAAGGTTACAACATGATCATCTACTCTGAGGTTTCTTGAAGTCAACAATCTTTCAAAGTTGATACTGCAGGAATCTATGCTTTTCTTTTGACCTGCTTGCAAGAATCTTCCCACACTTGATCATAAGTGAAGTACTCATTCTAACAAAAGAGGTTTGTTGAGACCTGCTACAAGTCCATTGGCTTCGATAAAACTGGAGTAAAACTGCGACATTGACCTTGCTTTTGTTTAGAAGCACGGAAAGCTATCAGCCTGGCCACTGACATACAAAACATATTTCTTGAAAAGCCCAACATTTTCAATAGATGTCGCTTACCATACAAGCTTCTCTCGCTTGGCGAATTGATGGATCTTTTTCCAATACATTTTTGTAGTCCTCTAAAGCTTCATCTAGCTTTTCTGTTTTTTCATACAGTTCTGCTCTCCTCAGTAGTGCCTTGATATAGTCTGGATTTAATTCCAGGGCTAGAATTAGAAAATAGAATAAAAACTGTACTATGAACCATTTAACTTGAGCATTCCTACCAGTTCCTGTTGAGTTAGCCTTTTCCAAAATACATTTATGTCATGAAATAGTACCAGCACCAGCAACAAAACCCAATGGCCTTACACTCAGGTAACATCATATTTCAGAGTTTTTAATTTTGGTTTCATTGTAAAGTTAAATAATAAACATATTAAAGAAGTATAAGCAACCAAAACATATTACTGTCAAATTTTGCTACTAAGCGGTATACGACTACAATTCTGTAAGCACTAGCTTGAATTTTATTTACTTACAGTAGACACACAAAAGACTGAAGCAATATACAGTATAACTACTTACAATGAACATAATGCATGATCTAACAGTATGCCTATTTCTTTTGAAAATAACTGAAGCACCAACCAAAAACATGATCTAAAAAAATTATGTGAATCCTCAGTGACGACATCCCCACTATCTAGGCACTTGATGCAAGACTGATCTCACCCATTGCTATACAAATCTAAGTAGGTAGGCAGTTGGACAATAGCTTTATAGCAAAGCAACGTGTGCTGTTTATATATCACCCCATAGCACTTAAAACACTCTCCTGGGAGGCTTACAATTTTAATCATGCAGGCTACACATTACCCTACCCCCACCCAGCTGGGTACCTGATTTACTAACCTTGGAGGAGGGAAAGCTGAGTCAACCTTGAGCTGGCTATCCAAGCCCATCAAGATCAAACTCGGGTTGTAAGAGGAATCCTGACTGCACTACTGCAGTTTAACCACTCTGCCATGAGGCTGCACCTCTCACAGCACAGCTATAGAGGACCATATCCACCACTGTATCTCTAAAAAATACAGTACCCTGTGTATTGTGAGTACTGTACCCAAGGTAATATATGAAGATGACAACCAGAACAGGCACTCAGCATAAAGAACATCAGAACAAATAAAAATTACCTTTGCTGCAGTCACTTATAGCAGTTTCTTTCTCATCCTGGAAAAGAGGTTACACGAACATTTAACACCAAGCACTGAAAAGGATTTTGCATCTTCAATTATGCTTAGGAAAACAGAAAGAGTGAGTTCTGGATGTCATAACTGAAAACCACAGGGAAGGACAGCTTGCAAAAAGTAAGCAAAATGCAATTAGTATTTGCAGGCAAGCTCTCAGAAAAATGTTAAGATACAAGGTTTTTGTTTTTTTTTTGGACGGACAGTAACTTCAACTAATCAATGATTTCCCATTTACTGGAAAATAAATGCAAAGCAAGCTAACCTAGACGAAACTTTAGTTAATGCCAAGTAGCCAGAATTGCCAAAGACAACAGCCTAATGTGGATGTTAATTATCTGGGTAACTTCCACTGGCAAAGAGGGCTCATCCCACCACTGTTGTCTCCCGGACATGGCAAGCAACACATCTAAAAAAGAGAGGTTCACCTTCACATAGAAGCTTCTCTACACAAGCAAGAAATTAGGGTTCTTGCTCAGGTAGAGCCTCCACTTGAGCAGAAACACTCTTATTTGGACCCAGCACCTTCCATGACAAGAAAGCAACGATGGTGGAGGAACCATGGAGAATTCATCCAGATACAAATTTTGTTATATTTTATATTGTTGTTATATATGTTGGTAACCGCCTAGAGTGGTCGTTCAACTAGATAGGCAGGGTATAAATGCAATAAATAAAATAAAATAACTAAATAACAATGGTACTATATAGGTGTTGCCTTAAACTCTAACATTAACCTCAGTTGCTGGGTAATTAATGTGGGGTCTTCCATTTTCAGCTGGCCTTTGCAACCAAGCCAAAAACAGTAGTCATGAGCCATTCTGTTCTTCCAGCAATCCTCCTTAGTTGCCTAGATTCTAACTTTTTACGTTTTCAGTTCAACGTTTCCTCCACATTCTCCTACAGTGAGCAAACACTGCATTACAACAACATGGAGGCATTTGCAGTTTCAACTATAAAGCTCAAAACTGAAAGAATAATCTTGGCATTCACCACATTAGTTCTTAACACTTCACCCTTTGTAATGATTGTTACCTGTTTCATTCTTGCTGCAGCTCTATTTGAATATAAAATGGATCTGTCCATCTTATGACAGGCTGGACAAATCTGCAGGGCTTTGGCATATGAATCTTCAGCTTCTTTATAATCTAAAGTTTGAATGAAACATTATGGCTTGAGATGAGGCAACACAAAGAGACACTCTTAGTACCAATTCATTCTTCTCCATTTGTAAGTTCACAGAAAATACAGCACTGAAACAAAAAGCAATGCAGAAAGAAAACAAACACCTACATGGTTTCAATTATCTTTTGCGCTACTCTATAAGTAGCAAACTCTACAATTTCTCTATATGCATTCGAACACTAATCCAGGAAACACACACAACACTTAACTTTTGCTGTGGAAAGGAAATTGGATTTATCAGGTATTTTATTTGACACTGTGGCGTCCACCCTCGTGCCCCTTTGCTTGACCTTCAAGCCTCCGAGCACAGGAAGGCAAACACTCTCTTCTTTTACACTTGCTGCCACCAGGTGATCTCTAAATCACCATTACTTCAGAAAGATTCAGGTCCACACTTCAAGTTCTTTTAAATAAAACTTTGGTTTATTGATTAGAGATTCATAAATATCTTCAGTAGCTAATCACACCTATATTTCCCAAACTACACACTCTATTACTCTCTCCCTTTCTCTCTGCACCAGGGGTCTCAAACATGCGGCCCGGGGGCCATTTGCAGCCCCCCAGATGATAGTTTGTGGCCCTCGCCTTGCCTGCCCCCCCAAAGCACCCACACATCCTCTGCTGTCAAGAGTAAAAAAAAAGCCTTGCCTCGCTCGCCAGCTCTCTCCCAAGACAGCACCTCTTGCACCCTCCATCCAGAACTGCAGCCTGCCAGCCAGCCCACCTGTCTGTCGGCTAAGGAAACTCCTGGGCGGCTTCCTCGGGCTCTTGCTCCGCTTGGCGGAAAATCTGATGCAGCCCAGCCTCACCCAGACTCTGTCTCTAGCGGCCCCCAGGTAAATTGTGTTTAAAACCCCTGCTCTACACACTGACTCTTACATTTCTCTAACTGACTCTCCCTGACTGACTCAGGCTCCACCTCTTATAGCATCTCTCCCAGCTCCGCCTCTAAGCAACATTAATATGCATGAACCATTCCATTACAGTGGGGTCTTGACTTGAGAACTTAATCCGTATTGGAAGGCGGTTCTCAAGTCAAAAAGTTCTCAGGTCAAATCTGCATTTCCCATAGGAATGCATTGAAAACCATTTGATCCGTATCTGCTCTTTTCCGTTCGTAGAAACTAATAGGAAGCTGCTATTCCGCCTTCGACCACTAGAGGGGGATATTTTGTTTCTTTTTTTCTTAGGTCAAGAAAGGTTCAGGGAAGGCAGGGAAAATACAGTCCAGGCAGT